TAAACCCTAAACCCTAATGCTACTACCCTAAGCCAAAGAACCGAGCCTTGATTTGACCGACCCTGATCGCCTGGTAATCGTGCACCTCGGCTTGGGATGTAGGATTGAAGCTGAGTACTTGAAAATATTTGTCAAACCCTAAATCCTAAATCCTAAATGCTACACCCTTTAAAATATGTGTCAAACCCTAAATCCTAAATCCTAAATGCTAAACCCTTTAAAATATGTGTCAAACCCTAAATCCTAAATCCTAAACCCTTTAAAATATGTGTCAAACCCTAAATCCTAAATCCTGAATGCTAAACCCTAATGAACGAAAACCCCCATCTTGGAGGGCCGTGGTCTTCGAAGCCCAGTCATCATTCTACTTGTCCAGTATCACGGGGAACTAAGGGATAACCTTTGGGATTCTACGTGTAGTTCCCTAAATGAGGGTCCGTTTGAGGGTCCATTTTATAGCGGTGCCGTACTATTTTGGGCACTTAATAAGTGACCACTACATCATTCTTGCTCACCCGAATGCTGTGGGTCGATTCACTTTCATTTGCATTATGGTTCTTTGACTCTCAGCTTCGGTTGGGAGTACATAAACTTACTGGCATTCCTAGGCCAGGCTGCTTACAACAATTCTTCGGAATACCTGATTGCATTCATAACGAACCCCAAAGACCCAACTTCTGCCGAATCAAGCCCCCAAAGCCATCAAGTCTAAACCATAATCCCTAAAACTCGAAACCTTGAGTGGGATCCATGCCCCGACTTACGAAAGAACACCTCGTAGCGGTGCATGGAAGAGAAAACAAGATAGTGTTTGAGGTCTCGGCTTTAGAACTAAATCTGTCAACGAGGGATGATCAGAAATTTAAGGTTTAGGGAACCCCGGAACGTTAAAACCCATGCCTCTGTGACAGATCTGTGGCTGAAAGGTCGCTTGGAGGGGCTTCGAGTCTGTTGGGGCTCGAGTGGAGGGCTTCGGGCGTGTGGAGCTTTGGGTTTAGGGTCTAGGGGTTTCGGGTTTTGAGGGGGGGCAGGGTTTAGGCTTTAGGGTTTAGGGGCTTAGGGTTTAGGGGTTTCGGGTTTTCCGGGGCAGTTGCGGGGCGCGAGTTTTGTCTTTTTGCATTGCTTCGCAGCGGCTTCAGGGCTCGCATGTAGACCCGCCCGGCACAGACCCCACCTTACACACCGAGCTCTAAAGCCTATCTACCCCGAAACGACTTCGACCATCTCGCCTTGCGAAAACACACAATGACAAACCCCACACTGCAGGCAAGCGCTACACCCGAAATCCCACAACCCCTAACTCCCAACACCCTAAAGCCTAAACGTCCTGCTCAAATCCTCAGGCTTAGGGCCCGTTTCTGAAGCTCCCAAATTCCGCTTGCAACGCTAGAAAATCCAAATCCTACGGTTCTTGATGTAAATCCTGCATTACCCATTAATAAGGAATATACCATAACTCTCATAGTTTAGGGTCCTTAAGCTAAGGTAATGCAGGGTTTATATCCATCAACCGTCATAAAGCCCCCAAACTAAAATCCGCCCTGCGCACCTGGGACTTCGATCCTAGCTTGGCCAGAGCAGACAGGTTGATCTCATCTGCCTCGCTTTGCGACGCTTTAGGGTTTAGGGTTTATAAGGTCTCTCTTTGCGAGGATGTTTCCTGGCTGAGGTTTCTACCGGTATCCTAGAAGGATGCAAGGAGGGTGTTGTATGGAGTTCACACGTTTTTTGTCAGGGATTGGAACTTGTTGCGGGTTTGGGGCAAAAGGGCTTAAGCATCAAGGTGGGGAGTTGAGAGCTTTGTGTTGAGGCTTTCATGCTCATGCTACTCGCACTGTGACTGAGACTTGGACTAGGACTAGGACTTGGTGCTGATGTTGGTGCTGCAGCTGGCATCGTGCTGGTGCTACAATCTTATTGGTATGATGACTATTCTCTCGGATATTCGTAGAGATGTTGTTCTTATCACGAACTAATCTCGCTACAGAAAAGGTTGTTAACAAATCGTTTTTGTTCGCATCTTGATCAGTATTACGAGTATTAGTGCAGATGTTATTGTTGCTGTTGTAAATACTGTTCGTAACAAAATTGCCTTCATATTACTAGTTTTACTGTTCTTATTGCTATTATTGATACAGTACTTATATGGTTGCTATGTCACTGAGTATCATGACTATTACTTGTATTATGATTACGACCCATGCTGTCATTACTGTTATTATTGCTTCTGCTAGTATAAATGCTATTATTCGTAGTTTCTTTGTGTAATTTTGGTATTAGTATTGTGATTGGTTATTGTGTATAGTTCATTATTTACGGTTCGTAATATTTCATGTATATCATTGCTGTTATCATCAATTAATGCTTTCGTATTGCTATCAATCCGGTTACAGTCTGATATCAGTATTATCGTCATTATTGGTGTTGCTATGATTATATCTATTACTACTTATAATTACTATATATTTAATTTGTTACGACGACGACTACGAACTCTGCGACTACAGGGAGTGCTGACTGCAAGTACGATCACGACTCGCTTGGACGACGGCAATGAGAACGAGCACGACCACGGCGACGACGGCTGCTGGTGCTGCTACTGCTCCTTCTCCTCCAGCTCCCCCGCATCCTGCAGCAACAACAACAACAACTTCTACTACTACTACTACTACTACTACTTCTGTAGCGATCGTTGCTGTCTTCAACTTACCTTTGGCTGTTGCCGTATGAGTCATCACGGCGTGACTGCCATCGCGGTCAGACATCACATTCTACCAGTGTTTGCGGATTGATTAAGATTCCTCGGCTATTTCAGCTGATACTCTCACTGTTCCTACAATTTCTGACTATTGCAGTTGCTTTGACTATGGCTGGAATTCGTCCTTCGCAATTTACTGTACATTTGCAGCGTACCAGCCTGGCCAACCGTCGATAAAGAAACTGCACCCACCTGCTGGTTCGTCGGAACCACCGCGGCAGGGCAACGATCGAGTGGCCTGGAGAGATGAATGCCATCTCAGTGCCAGACTTGCCACATAGGTAGTTGGTGGATTCTGGCTTCAAAGGCAAACAATGCCGAAAACCTCCCTTATAAATTGACCTAGCCGGGCGAGGCCCCTGAGGTAGGGTGTTGGTGGTAATAAAGGTGGTAGTAGTACTAGTACTATAGGACTAGGACTAGGACTAGCACTGGCACTTGTACTAGCACAGTCTTAGTACAAGTACCAGTACTAGTACTAGTACTAGTACTTGTACTCGTACTACTACCACTACTACTACTACTACTACTACTACTACTGCTACTACTACTATTACTATTATTACTACTACATCTTCTGCTACTACTGCCACATACTACTACTACTACTACTACTACTACTACTAAAACCCAGCCACAACAACAACAACAACTACTACTACTACTACTGCTACTACTACTACTACTACTACTACTACTACTGCTACTGCCGCATACTACTACTACTACTACTACTACTACTACTACTACTACTGCCACATACTACTACTACTACTACTACTGCCACATACTACTACTACTACTGCCACATACTACTACTACTACTACTACTTCTACTTCTACTTCTACTTCTACTTCTACTTCTACTTCTACTTCTACTTCTACTCCTATTCCTACTTCTACTTCTACTTCTACTTCTCTTTCTACTTCTACTTCTACTTCTACTTCTACTTCTACTTCTACTTCTACTTCTACTTCTACTACTACTACTACTACGACGACGACGACGACTACTGCCACCACTACCACAACTACCACTACCGACATTACGCGGGGCCTTGGCTTGCTGTGCAGATCCATGAGCATCTGCCAAGACGTCGCCGAGAGGCATCCGGAGCGAACCTGACGAAATAATGTGTGTATGCATGTATCTTGATTGATTTTGACACTTATCTCTCTCGCTCTCTCTCTCTCTCTCTATATATATATATAAACATATATATATATATACGGGACTTGCTGCTCCAAGGGAGAGATGATAGGTTTGCGGGTCTAGGGCTCTAGGATTTCTAGGATTTCGTGGGGCTCATCACCAAGTTGGAGGCCAAGGGTTTCCCCTCTCTGGCGATTCAACCCTGGCCGCAAATCCAATTCTGCAGCATGCTTTGCGAGAATGCGGGAGATTGTTCCTCAGTTGGTTAGGGCCTGGGTGGGGGTTTCTTCTTAGGGCAAGCTGCCCTTGAGCCCCCGGCCCGAAACCCCAAAAACCCTGAAGCCCTGACTCACCACCTTTTTACTCAGACAACCATCCGTCCCGGCACGTGCATGTGCACATCGAGTCGGGCTTCTGCTATAGCGTCTCTACAAGGGCACCCCAATTGGGCGTAGGAATCCTACATACACTCACCCAAGCCTCGGTCGAAAGCCTGCGTCAGTCACTCCGAACCATGAAAAAAAGGTCCCACACACTCTATGTAAACAAACACGAACATACATAATGAGCCCACTGGATTCACTGGACCGGAGCGAATAAACCCCTCCCTGAGGAAAAGCGGGGCTGCAGGCTGTACAGAAATAGACTTTGTAAGGTGTTAACGGGTGATACCCCTTGTGCCCAGGGAGCCCAATAAAAACCGTAACACAGCCTGCCCCCGGTCTGCTTTCAACCGTACTTCCGACCCAACAGCCGGACGCAGCAAAAAGGGACTTCGGGTTGAACACTGGGATAGGCTGCTTGAACAGCTGTGTGTTGGTCTACGCTTTGCCAGACGTCCTTTTAGTCGATTTCGCGAGTGCGCGGCAGTCTCTCGGTGCCACCGATGCTATTCTGGGCCCTGCATTGCAATACCTAAACCCCGAACCTTCAAGCTTAGGGGCTTGGTATGGGTTGGTCAGGATGTAGATACTGTAGAATTTTCGGTTCAACCCCTACACTAAACCGAATTCTAACCAGGATGTCTTGGATGTGGATGAGAACTGCGGTTAGCAAGTTACATCTATCGATAGCTCAGAGATGCAATCGTCAGTGCTCCTGGTCAAACATGAAGGTTTGCGCATCAGCGATAGCTTTCTTGCACAGCCTCACTGCATTCTTGACGAGTGTTTTCTCCGGTACCTTGCTTGCCACAGTTCGCATTCACGTCTAAGCTTTTGGAAGGGACAGCTAGAACCCCTACAAGCAAAACCCTATACCCTATGAGCCCTAAACCCTCTACCCCAAACCCTGAACCCAGCTAGACCCAGCACTACCCTCAGTACACTTGCAGTCAGGCATGCTATGGTACTAGCAGCAATCATTCCGACCCCGATCTCAAACACAATCGGGGCTTCACAACCCTACACCCTAACCTCAAAACCCCAAAACTCTAAACCCCTAAACTCAAAACCCCAACACCCAAAACCCTAAACCCCAAAACCCCAAACCCCTAAACCCTAAACCCCAAGACCCTAAACCCCCAAACCCCCAAACCCCTAAACTGTAAACCCCAAACCCCAAAACCCCAAAACCCAAAACCCCAAACCTCAAAACCCTAAACCCTAAACCCCCAAACCCCAAAACCCTAAACCCTAAACCCCTAAACCTTAAACCCCAACCCCCTAAACCCCAAAACTCTAAACCCCAAAACCCCAAAACCCAAAACCCCAAAGGGGTTCCTATACTTTTTATACCCTGTAGGTAGGTACATGGAGGCTTAGGGTTTACCAGCCCTACACGTGCTATACACTTCTTTAGAAACCCAAAACTCCCGAAAGCCTGCTACATCCAATGCTAATCCGATAAACCCTAAACCCCAGACAGCACGGCTCCTGGTTCCTCAATACGAAGACCCGGAATTGGAGGCTTCATAGTCTTGGGCTGTTGGGTGTAACTCGAAGGTCCATGTGCCTGCGCATGCCTTGAAAGGGCTTCCTATATGGGTATTTTGGGGCCAAGTTGACGCACATGGACTCTCAGAGTAGCTCATGCGCTGGACCGGAGCTCAGGCTGCTTTCAGTTCAATTATCCTGAGAATGCATGTATCCAGATACGATATACTTTAGCCCAAAAGTACTTATATAAGGACTACATTAAGGCCAAAGTCTATCCTATTCGGGTACGTGGACCCTTCAAGGAGAAGCCCAAGAGTTGGAAACCCATTCAATAGCCTCAATCCCTAAGAGCAATGTACTTGTTGGATTAACTATAGCGTTATAGAGAAAAAGGAACTCGATCAAGTAGTGCTCAGTTGCTTTGTGGGTTGTGGAGCCGTCCGAATTCCCAAACCACATCCACTCCTGCACATCTTGGGCAGTCAACTAGGGCCTACACCTCCATCTATGCTCTATTGGATCCTATATATCCATTGTTTGGGACCATACATCCTTATTTGAGGGCACACGCAGGGTCCTGGAATCAATTACTGCAGAACAGTGATTTTTTTGACGTGTTTGGTTCCTGCAATGCTGCAAACTTTCGAAGAAAACGCCAAAAAAACACCGAGAGACCACCCTGATCAAGCATAGACTGGAGGGCTCTGAACCGGAAGCCCTGCTCACATGCAAAGCCAAAAAAACACACGTGTCACATGCGTTTGATTAGGGTTTCAAGTTTAGGGTTTAGGGCTTTTAGGCCCGAAGCCCGAAACCCTAAAAACGCCCAAGACCCTAAATCCAAAAAACCCATCGTGCCCTAAAGAGCCCTTGAAGGCACCCCTCAAAGGAGCCCAAAATTAAAGAGCCCTTAACAAGAATCCTCAAAGGAACCCTAAACCCTAAACCCTAAACCCCCAAACCCTAAACCCCAAACCCCAAACCCTAAACCCTAAACCCCTAAACCCTAAACCCACAAGAAAGAAATAAATAGAAATTGCTTGTTGCTGTTGGCATCCGGAAGCTCGTTTTTCTTTCGGCTTGAAAACATCCTTCCCATCTTCAAATAAATCAATTTCCGCTTCAGGGTAGCCCCAGCCCCAGCCCCAGGCCCCAAAATGCCCACAGCCCAGCCAGCCAGCCCAGGTCCAGCCCGCCCAGCCACAGCCCAGCCCAGCCCAGCCCAGCCCAGCCCAGCCCAGCCCAGCCCAGCCCACAGCCCAGCCCCCAGATTCAAAATATGGTTCCAAAAGAAAAACTCGGTCAAAACCTTCGGTCAACACGTTCTTGGCACCCAAACCCTTAACAATTTCTATAAACCCAAAACCCTGAACCCTAAACCCTGACCCTAAACCCAAAACCCTAAACCCAAAAACCTAAACCCGGAATCAAACACAGCCCGGCCAGCTCCACGAATGGGTGGCAGCCGAGGTTTCCTTGGACGGCTCTTGGGTGTAGGGTGTAGAGTTTAGGGTTTAGGATTTGGGGTTTAGGGTTTGGGGTTTAGGGGTTCGGGGTTTTGGGGTTTAGGGTTGAGGGTCTAGGGTTTGAGGCCTTTTGAGGTGTTTGTTTCAACTCCGTTTAAGGGTTAGGGTTCAAGGGAGTCCTTTAAGGTTTAGGGTTTATGGCTTCAGAATTTGGAGTCTAGGGTTTGGGGTTTAGGATTCTATGGCTTCAGGGTTTGGGGTTTGGGGTTTAGGGTTTAGGATTTGGGGCTTCGGGATTTAAAGTTTAAGCTTTCGGATTTAAGGCTCAGGGTCAGGGCTCAGGGTTTATTATCTGACTTAAGATACCCGGGTGCCCACTTGCTGAAACTCCTGTTCGGCTTCTTCGCAGCTTAATCGGGGTGATCTTGATGGACATTTTGCGGAGTATGTTCTGACAGAGATCGAAACTTCCATGGACTCTTGCAGGCTCGTGGCCAAGAACTGCTTCGGGCTGGCACTCCTCGAAAAGGGAAGACCTCTTCGAAAAAGGCTTCTGTTATGCAGCCTCGACCCCTTGTCAGAGGTCCCGGGTTCATGTACATAGGGTTTAGGATTCACCGCATCTTGCCAGGCTGCCGACTACCAGGGAGTGTCCCGGCGTCTGTATTGCGATGAGGTAGTCCTCTTCCTCCTCCACCTCAGGGTTGTGGTTCTCGGGAGTTTTCAGAACACGACCGCTGTCCCTCTCCGAAACCAGAGCATGTCGCGGGGCTATTACTAGAGCCCTCAAAATGCCAGCTACTGTCACACCCAGATAGCAACGAACAAGGAATGATAACTGCACACGGTAGTTTAATTGGTGGTCGGATCTTCTGGTTCATAGGGCCGGTCTGTGTACATCTACAAATCGGGCCTTACGGTTTAGGGTTTGGGGTTTAGGCTTTTGTTGTGGTTGCAGGGTCCTATCAGTCCTATCGGTGGGATAGGTTGTCCGCAGCCAAGAACTACGGTGGAGAGTATGGGACGGGTTTATAAGTAGAGCCCCAAACTCCCAATCTCAGCTTTAAATCCACGACGTGGTGGTGGTGCTGCTGGTCGTGGCGGCAGCGATTGCGGCGGCGGTGGTGGTGGTTGCGGCCACAGCAGCAACAAGCTTCAGCTGCGTCTAGGGTCTAGAATTTAGATATATGCTTCTACATTGCTTTTACCCTGCCTCCAGCACAGCTGAGAGCCCAAGGCAACACTTGCCTTTTCGTCTTGGTGTTCCCTCACTGGGCCGTATGTCATAGAACACAGGAAGGAGCACCCCTGGCAACTTCACATCGCAGCGGGTCTCATGCAAAAGCAAGCCACGAAAGCCCGGGTTCCCCAAAACCGCAAAACCCTCGGAGGGCGGCAAGCTCGAACTCTGCTTCAACTTTGGGTGTTCAAGCAGAGAACAGCTTCTCAAATCCCAAGGTACAGAAAAAGTCAAACTCTACACTTGATAATCGCTCGGCGGAGCGGGCGACTTCGCAGGGAGGGTCACAACGTGCGCAGATGACAAGGTTGGCTGCGTATTCTACTCTTTCGTCCTCAATGCCCTCGGCCCTCTGAGAGCAATCCCTTACAAATCCTGCTGAAACCTTACAGCGCCTCACCCGAAGCATTCAGTCACACAAGCAAGCCGAAACCAACTCTGAAAGCTCAAGCCAAACATCGAGCACCAAGGATTCTCATGCCTCAATCGCGGAAACCTAAAGGGTTTAGGGTTTAGGGTTTAGGTTAAAGGGTTAAGGCTTACCCTTAGAGCCTCAAAATATCCAGGCCTGCCTCGGTGTAGCATTTCATCTTAAAGCCGCCGGGCGCGGTCAAAGTTGAGCCGTCGGCCGTCCACTTTGCTTCCTTGACGGAGGCAGCCAGCTCGCCGAAAGTGGCGTCCTTGGATCCACGGTTTAGGGTTTACATAGGGTAGTGGCGTCCTTGGGATAGGGTCTGGGGCAATCGGCTGAGGTTCTGGGCGTGCTTCTGGCCTGCCCTGTTCAAAAGAATCATCAAAACAGTTCGCATGTATGTAATGCAATGTAATGTAATGTAATGTACTGCTATGTGATGTGATGTGATGTGATGTGATATATGTAGGCATGCATATATATATATGCATATGTATGTATTGGTACTGGTACTGTACCAAGCTAGATATGCATTTTCACGGATGCGCACACATGGACGTTTTCATCAAGCGCAAACTGCTGGATCAGTCTAGCCTGTCACTCTTTCTCACGGTGGCCTATACTGAAATTCTGAGGAACCAATGAAGAAGACGAAACTATCCCAAACGCTACACCCTTAAACCTCCAACACACCAACTACACTTTGCAGGGTCTATTGTCTACTTGCAACTGACGTCTGAGTCTCAGCCGCTGTCTAAAGAGACAGCTTTTGGCTCCGCCCGATTTCATGCAACAAGAAGAGCTTGCAGCAAGGGGTAGGGATGTGTAAATGCTTGCACAGTACTTCCAGGGATTCATTGTTCTCAATGGGCCTTCGTAAAGTTTCATAGACCTTGAACTCCAAACCCAAGAACACTAGCACAATCCAAATCACAAACCATGATTCAACCGGTGTAAAGCCCTCATGTGGTAACCCGGAACTCGCATAAATCCTTCTAGACCCCTTGTAGACTTACGAAACCCATTGAGAAGCCCGTATGACGCCCGGGATCTTCAAATCCTTTCAGATCCCCAAACCCTAAAGCCCGACAGAACCCTTGACCCTAAACCCTTACATAATCCTAAACCCTAAACCTCCCAGGCCCAAACCTCGGTAATCAAAAGTGCCTATATAGGAACCCCTCTGATGGCCGAAGTTTCTACTATGTCATATAGGTACATGGAGCCTTCGGGAAATATCTAGAGGGTTTTGGGGCATATTCTAAAGGGAGTATACAGTGCGACAAGGAACGGCCACGGAAACGGTGTTCTTGATGTCTCGAAAATCCATGCTACCCAGACCTTCCAATATCCCAAAATTAAGGAATATACCTCATATTCTAGTAGGATCTACATTATGATTTAAGGTACATTCCCAAAAAAAGATGTATTGGAAGGTTTCGGTAAGAGTCGTGATCACGAGGTAGTCTGGAGGCCGTATGACTGGAAGAGGCTTCGAGGCATGTTGCGATATAGTCGGAATGGGAAGCCAAAGGAACAGTACTGGTACTTGTTATGGCTTCTAGGTTACATTCTCTGTGTGTTCCTGGCAGAGTAGTGGAGCCTTGAGAACGGAGAGTGTTGAGGGTTTGGGGTCTACCCTAAACCCTAAACCCCTAAACCCTAAACCCCTAAACTCTAAACCTTCTAGGGCTGTAGGGGTTTCGAGTCTATGAGGCAGGCGAGTGTCCAGTCTGGCTTTATCAATCTCCTCGACCTCCTGGTCCTTGGAGCAGAACACACACACAGGTTTAGGGTTTAGGGTTTAGGGCGCTTTAACCATGCAAAAGCACGAACCCACGGGAATCGGAAAGTTGAGCTGATGGGTCTGGCAAGTCTCAACAAAGTGCCCCCTTTTCATAGAGCCAGCCTTGATGTACCCGTCCCCCTCTCCGGGCATCTTCTCCCAGTCGATGGGGTACTTCACCGCACCCGTCCTTGTACTTGGGCATGACAGGCTTAGACTAGGGTTTAGGGTTTAGGGGTTTAGGGTTTAGGGTTTAAGGGTTTAGGGTCTAGGGTTTAGGTTTTAGGGTTTTGAGGGTTTTTCAGGTTTGTGTAGGGAACCCTAATTATTCCCTAGGAAGAAGCCTCAAAGCTTTAAAGCCTAACTAACCTTTACAGTCCGTACAGCGTAAGCCCCACAATTAACCCTGATAGTGTACATCTACGTAAACCAAAGTCTCAGTAAACCTTGGCCTTACCCAGAGGCTCCATAGTAGTTCCATTTTATGGCTCATATTTAGAATCCTATAAGGTAATCCCAAAAAGGAACTACTTTGGAGCCTATGGGTAAGCCCTCAAAGCCGACACTCGCGAGGCACCTTGGCGCCTTGCCGGGCGTTGTGGAGCTCGCGCTGGCAGGCCGCTTGAGCGCAGGGGCACTTCGTGCTTTGGCTTTGGCCGCCGGCGCAGACTGCGAGGAGGTGGACAAACCAAGATCTTGCAATTGGGTTTACGGGTTTGGGTCTATATAATTAAGCCTTTCGGATTTGAGAATAGGATGTCTAGGGACAGTCGGAAGACGGACATCCAAAACAACAACCATACCACCGCCACCCACCACCAGCAGCAGCAGCAGCAACAACAACAACAACACCAACACCAACACCAACACCAACACCAACACCAACACCAACACCACCACCACCACCAACAACAACAACAACAGGAACAACAACAACGACAACAACAACAACAACAGCAGCGATTACCACAACCATCATAAAACAAAACCTGACGACCGCGACGACAACAGCAACGAAATCAACAGCATTTGCAGCATTAACATGTGAGGGCTTGGACTGCGCTGGAATACCCAAGGACCTGAAAAGGGATCGAACCCGTGGACGACTCTAGCGAGTGCTCACACAAACATTCGATCTTCCGTGTGAGGTGTTCTTGTTTAGTTTAATGGAATAGGGTTCAGAGTCAGGTTTACGCGACAAAATGACGGTTTTGGGGTATGTTATGCTATGTTTAGAAAAAGCAAGCCCCAAAAAACAGCAGAAGCACCTTTTCCTGGTAAGTTTGTTCAGTTTGGCGCCTGGACTCCGACTCCTAGACTCGTCTACAGTCGCAACTGCGAGGGGCAAGATTAACACTGGCAACAACCCTCGTACGATGGTGGATGATTGCTCTGGCTGTCAGTGTTCGGAGACCGAGTACTTTGAACTTAGATGAGGTACTAGTGGTACAGAAACGGTAAGGTCAAGGACTAGATCATCAGGTCTTCCTTTTCTTTGTGTTGAAGCCCCTGCTTAACTCACGGGGAGTCAGGCGCTGGAAACCCTGAACCCAAACCCCCGTATAATCCCCGTAAACCCTAAGACCAAGACCCTGCAAAAGCATAGCCCCTGCACCTACATTATATGGGAATGTATGGGAATGTGTGTACGATCGTGGTAGCTAGGATCCCCAAACAAACCCTGAACCCTCAACCATAAAACCCTTAGAGCATTGAAGCTTTACTGGCCTTAGCTCCAGTCAGCAACGCAGAGCAGCCGCTTGGGAGCTTTCGGTTGCTGCCTCGAAATCTGCCCAACCTACCCTAAACCCTAAATCCTCGACCCTAAACCCTAAACTCCTAAACCCTCGACCGCGCTTCGACTTGCCCAGAACCCTAGACCCGTGAAGGGTCCAGGATTTGGGTTGAAGGCTCAAGGTTTGATCCCCCCAACCGTGGGGTTTTCTGGGACTTGCTTAAGGTCTATGAAGGCACTGTAGGGTTTGTAACCTTCATGAGGGCCTCTATACAGGTCTTTCCGAGGGTTGTCTCTTATGCAAACAAACAACAACAACGACAACAACAACAACAAACCACAACCTGCACCCACAACCACAACCACAACCACCACGACGACGACGACAACAACAACACCAACAACCACCACAACCACAATCACAACAGCAACCACAATCACAATCACAACCACAACCAACTATCAATCGGACCCCCTAAATCCTAAACCCTAGTCAAGGGAAGCGGAGCGAATGCGTTTATGACCCGCACTGCTTTGGCCCCAGCTTTGAGCTTCAGGGATTGGGTGTAGGGTTTGGGTTAACGAGCCCGAAATCTGCACCCTACCCCCGAGAAAAAAGATATAGGGTACTAGAGCCCCTAGGGCCCTATATAGTAGGTACCTGGAGGGTTAGGGCTAGGGACAGCCTACCCGAACTACCACTCAACCGTAGGCACTAAACCCGGGTTTCGTGAGCTTGGTGGTGTGCGGCTAACTGCCAGGCAGGGCGCTCGTAGATTGCACATACAAGGTCCAGCCGGCCTTGATGTCCTCACTCGTTAGTGAAAACTACCCCTGTCGACCTCGTCATGCCTGCACGTTGTCATGTCTGTCCTCCGTTTGTAAGCAAAACCTTGTCGTTACTATTTCCTAGTCGTGGTAGCTGCACCTTGTGGTGAAGGCTCTGGGATCCTAATTAAACTAACTAACAGGAGCAGCCATCATTACTGTGTCGGAATTTAATTTAAACTGACTGCCATAGTGGTAATATAAAATACATATAATAATAACAATAATAACAATAATAATAAGATTTCGTTATTCTTGCCACTTAAGTTGAGATCCTTAATAGCAACCCCAGTGATGGTCTCAGGTCTGCACAGATGCTGCTGTAGGCAACCCCGAGCGGAAGTTCCCAGAGAAGACATGAAATCCGAGACCCAAAGCCTTGCAGAACAACCGGCCTCAACACAGGGACGAGGTCTTCAAGGGTTTATAGGTTTTAGGGCCCAGACCTTCTAATGCGAACAGCGAAGCTGATATAGGGACCTGAATAATTACTCTTGCCAGTCCCTGCTGTGGACTTCCTGAAAATGTTGGTGTAATGTGCACAGGAAGTCCTTTTGGATGCTGAATCTTGGGCCACAGTATCTGACATTCTACGAGGGAATCAGGGTACTGCCCCTGAGGATCTGCTATTTTGGGGGACCTATTACAGGGTTTAGGGTTTAGGGAGGATCTACTATTCTGGAAGGACCTATTATAAGAAGGGAACCCAAGTTAGAGAACTACCCGTCTGAAGACGCTTCTGGGAGTCTGGAGTGTTAGGGTCTCCAAGGGTTTAGGGTTTAGGGGTGGATTTTACGGTCAAAGGGAATTGTGTCTAGGGTCTCAGATATGCTTAAGGTAAGGTTCATGGGGTCAGGTTGTCGGGATGGGCTTTAGTCGAGTGGGTTTAGGGTTTAGGGTTCAGGAGCTTTGTAGGGTTTTCTGTAGTTTAAGCTTTGAATGCCCAAACAAGACTCGTAACACTAACATGAAACGCGCCCGCAACTCGTGTTCGCGGAGCAGGGTACCAGGTTCATGACTGCAAAGGAACCCTAAGGCCCTAGGGTAACCACTTTAGGGTTTCAGGCATTGGGGTTTAGGGTTTAGGGAACTCAGACAAACTGGAGCACGAAGCTTGAAGCAAAGATCCGATGGTCCCACGGTGATGTTTCCGACAGACAGGCCCAGCAGCTTTCGCACCTGGCGGCGTTCACTCGGTTGTGGCTGTCCTAAACCCTAAACCCTAAAACCTAAACCCGAAACCCCAAACCCTGAACCCTAAACCCCAAACCCTCGGCTGTGGCTGCAGGGCCAAAGGTCGGGGGTTTCGAAGACCAAAAAAGCACTGAAGCCTTTCACCCGGAATCCCAAAACCACGGATCTTTTTGCTGATGCCCAAAGACTCTTCCTGGGGCGTTTTTAGGCTTAGGGATTTAGGATGTAAGGTTTCTGGGATGAACCCAGATCCTCCATCGTAGTTCGCTTCCTTGGCTACGGCTTCCTTCCATAATGGATCCAGAAGAGTGCCGAGTATAGGTAGGGGATGAACGAAACACATCATCATCATCATCATCATCATCATCGACAACGACAACAACAACAACAAACAACAACAACAACAACAACAGCAGTAGCAACATCGACAGTCACAGTAACAGCGACAGGAGCAGCAACGGCAACAGCAACATAAACATCAGCCATGAGAGCAATTAGCTGCGAACACTTCTTCGTCAACATCATAGGCACCACATGCATCGCTGTCGCAGAAGCTGCAAAAAATGATCGAAGCGTCATAAGCTGCATACTATGTCAGCTAGCCTTGTTCTGCATACTCTTCTCCTTCCCACTACCAAGATGCGTGTGATCATCCCGAGTTTTCGAGGTCTTGGTCACGTCAGTATGGTTACCGCCACACCCTCAACCCTAAATACTCTAAACCCTAAACCCTAAAACCCTAAACCCTAAAACCCTAAATCCTAAAATTCTAAACCCTAAACAACTACTAAACTAAACCCTAAACCCCCTAAACCCCAAAACCCTGGCGGGTAATACGTTGTAGCAACCGGGTGTTCCAGCAACAGTACAGTCTTTTCTGGTTGCTGCTTCGGTGTAGGACGGTTTGGGGGTTAAAATTTGGGGTTTAGGGTTTAGTGTTTAGGGTATGGCTGTTTCGTTATGGAACCCGAATGGCTAGGGCTTAGGGTTTAGGATGCATGGAGTTTAGGGTATATAGAGTGTAGGATAAAATCCCTTACTTCATATATGCCAAAAATCATGCGAGAGATCCCACGATACTTTACGGTACATTCCTTAAGTAAGAGATGTTGGAAGGTCTGAATTGCCAGCCACACCGCCGGAACAGAGTAAGCAAAGCCGGCCGACCGCATCAAAGCAAGTTTAGAGCTTACTGTCTAGCTAACCCTGAACCTCCGGACGAAGTTGATGAACTGAAGTGGCCTTAATGCCTAGAATAGGGTTTCAAGGGCATGCTATGGTGTGTTTCTAGGGTCGATAAGATGTCGATAAGCCTCCGATAAGCGAATGTTAAATGCCGAATTTTGCAATCCAGATCCCCCAGGACAGCAGCCACTGAAAAGTCCAAACCTTAACC